TTTTTAAAAACAAAAACGAAAATTAAAAAAAAAATTTGTCATATACCTAGAATCTAAAAATGACGAATACTGAATTTTACGACTCATGTGTGTATGGGTGCACTTAATTACGGCAAGGCACACTATGGCTATCTGCCTAAGGGGGGATGCCTTCGTGGAGGACTTTCTAAGGGAAACTGGCTCGTATACACGTTACACATGGGGAAAACCACGAAAACACCCATGTAGTAGGACCGTTCGCGGGATTCGAACCTCAGACCGAACTAACAGTGTTCAGCGACTTTACCGCTCGGCCGCTGGTGGGCCGTTTTACGACTCATATAATAATAAATGCATGTTCATATTGTAACAGAAATTTTGTTAGAAGTCTAGCATATGTATAGTTATTTGTGATCTTTTAAAACTGTCGTAACATGATGCATATTTATCATTATCGTGAACCAAAACAGTATGCTTTACATCCTTACAAATATACGTGATAGATTTTAATATTTATTTCTGCATATACTTACGTTTCCCAAAGACACGAAAGCAAGTCAAGCAGATTTTTGTTGTATTAAGCAGACTTAAGTTCTCTGTTAGCTAGTGTAACATAATTTCGGATGTTAGTGTAACATAATTTCGGACTCTATGAGCCTTCCAGAATTATTAGCAAAATAGTGGAAACGTCTTTACAAAGTGTTTTTATAAGCAAACAGCAGATGTACACTGAGCAGTGATCAACTGATATATTTCTTAAATGATTTGGTTTAGTTGATTATGACAAAACACACTGGGGCTATGTGCCTAAAAGGAAAAATGCCTTCGTAGAGCACTTTCTTAGGAAAGCTGGCTCGTATGGTACGTGGTAAGCTGGCTTGTAAGCTGGTACGGGGAAAAAAAAACCACGAAACGCTTATGAAGCCAACCCGTTTGCCTGAGATCGAACTCTCAATACAAATTCCAATATAGATGAGAACCAATGAAAATAAATGAGATCGAACCAATACTTCCCCAAATAACAAATAACTTTCTTTCGTATTTGTATTTGGGAAAGTTTTATGGTCATTATGAAAAAGTGAAAATTTGATATGGATTCCGCATGACTTCCTTCTACGACTATTTAAATTATGCTTATTTTTTCTGCACTTCATTTAAACTTATTTCCTCGAATTATTCTAACTCAATTAAGCGATACCCAAAGGCAAGTTACAAATGGCATCAAACATTGCAAATTTTGAAACTAAATTTCCCGGTCAATCTTTGTCCTACAGGGACTCAAACTTCTTGTATTTTTATTTTTTCATAACAAGTATAAAGGTTTGCCAAATATAAATATAGAAACCAGAAGACGACATTAAAAGTTAGATTTCATAATTTGTCCAAAACTTAATTCTTTTTTTAATTTGACATTGACAAAATATGAATATTTTCGTCATTTAAAATACTTCTGTATTTTTGTTGCACCGTATTTAAACTTGCTTCCTCGAGTTATTGACATTAAATTACATTAATTCCATTATCTATCGGAAAATAATTATAGCAAATCATCTATTTACGACATCTCTAAGAGGTCACCTTTTAAGAGATCTCTATTTTTGGGAACATAAACAAACATTGGTAGGTGAACATCATCTTTTTAAGACCACCACATGTAAAATCCTCTAAAAGCATGAATGGTTGCATTTAATGAAGGGACCCATTACTTTTAATAAAGGAATGTAACATTAATCTTAATTATACATGTTTTTGGTGTGTGTGTCCAAAATAGTGATACCGTGGTTCTGTTGCTTTAGAAATGTGTGAAATTAAAAAAAATGGATACTATACAACAAAAATGTTATTATATTCAGATACACACCTTTTGAACACGTCTGAAATTCATTATTCTGCTCAACATAATTTGTCTGCATAAAATATTAAATAATATTAAAAAATCAAAAGCTAAGTCGAAGTAGAAACAGTCATCTCTTCTAAAACATTTTAATTGAATTAAACAGACGTTCGCCTTATCGTAAAGTAAACACCTATTTTTCAAACAGCGGATGAAACGGGAAAAGAGGGAATTGGTGGGGGAAGGCAGCGAACGAAATAACACTTTTTCGAGCTGGGGATAAAATGAGATAGGACGAAACGATACTAAGCCAATAAGACAAGATCTGGTATTTTACTTTATTATTTAATTAGTCATCATAAATTAAAAATTATTTTAATTTTTATTTGTTTTTACATTTTTATTAAATTTACTTATAAGTATTTTATATTCAGTTGCTAATTATTATGTTACTTTAATTATTCATTATTTTAATCACTATTTTTTTATTATTTAATTATTAAGTTTTTTAATAAGTAATTTTTTTGTTATTTTAATTACTAATTAATGTTATTATTGTAATATTTATTTCCTTTCTTTCTTTTTTATTTTATTTTTTCCTGACGGCCTTTCGTAGGCCCTTCTGACTTTAGAAACTAAGCCCTGACAGCAATAGAAAATTTAATAATGAATCATATCCAGTGCACCAAAAAATAATAGCCAAAATAAAGTGAATTATTTCTACCCAAAAAGGCGACGCAAAAACTATAGCAGCACTACCCAGTTCCCGCGGGGTAGCTCACGTGATTCAATACAATGCGACGTTTCAAAGCCCTTTTTAGGGCCGTAGACCGATAAAATAGGCTCAGTATACGGATACCGATCGATTTTACCGAAAGTAACGAGTAACGATACGATAGTAACGAGTACTGGTTCACCGAGTAACGAATACATACGGGTACACAATTTCTCGTTACTTCTACAGCACTATTGACAAGCGTCTAGACAGACAGACAGACAAAGTAGACAGATGCAAGGAGGTTAGAATAGACCTCCTTGGACAGATGTCTTGTTTTCCACCCGCTAAGTCTTTCTGCACCGATGGGCGAAAAATCAAGCATAGGTGCGAAGGAAAGGTATATAGAAAGAGGGGCAATTTCGTATTTGAGGAGAGTAAAAAGGAACTTCGTACATCTTGTACGAGTTCAAAAGGCCAGAAAGAAAAGATGGGACAAAATAAAATTTAAAATAAATGGCCCAAAAATAATAGAAGGAAAAAAAAAAAGGGCCTATAGAAAGAAAAGGAAAGAAGTAGAAAATATCCTAAAATACGATTGTGTCCATGAGTGTAGTTAAAAGGAGAAGAAACTGTCTTCATTTACAATAAATAGTGTCTCACAGGTGTGTGTGTGTAGTGAGTGTGTTTGGTAATGGTGAATAGATGTGTTACTAAGGAAAAAACAAATATTGACGGTGTTAAAATGCTTTGTATTAAGGTATTTAGCATGGAATATAAAGTAATATGTATGCTTGCATCCGGAGATATCAACAAAGGTCATCAAACAAAAGTATATATTAATTTAACCAAAGTAACTTATGCTACTTTCATTCTCAACATTTTCATACATTTTTCAAAAAACAGCAGCAGACTATCAACATAGAACCATATACAATACAAGACCACAGCCGCACACACCAATATATATATATATGTGTGTGTAAATTACTTAGTATATGTATTAAAAACACAAATTAAACAGTATTTATTAATTTAACTATCATAATTTATTACAAGATTAATTATTTTAATTAATCATAATTATTACTAGTTAATTAATGTTAGTATAACACAATGAGGCACACTGTTATTTATATAAGCTTATAGTTCTAAGAATTCATTTAAGGCGGTGAAGAATAAACCATCCCTTACATATGGACATTTAACAGATAGCAAAGAACAGTATGAGAAAAAATCGGTGAGGTATAATATTATTTAAAGGCGAAACTATATTCAAGCGATCTAAAAAGAAAAGAGAATCCAGAAGATCCGAGAGGGAAATAGCGCGATGCCCAAATTTTCCCTCTCATCCCCAAATTTTCCCTCTCACGAGATTCCTTTAAGGACTTTGTAAGTGTTGACAGACGTGAACTGATAACGTTGGCGTCCGTTTGGAAGTTGATACACAAAGGAAGCCACAAGCAATGAGCAATTTCAAGTATTTTTTAATGCTTTAAACTGAATGAAAAATTAAGATTTTATTGATTTAAAGGCACTTATTTATAGAAATTTGATTTAGTTTAGATGAAAGAAAAGTACTTATCTTAAAATTCCAGGCTTTTGGAGTATATCCTTACATTGTCCGCTGTTTTATTCTCGTCAACATCGCAGTCGAAATTCATTGGAATGATATAGGTGTTGTAGAAAAAAAAAAAAGCATTTTTCAAAGAAATTTAATTGATAATCACCAAGAGGAAAGGAAATTTTTGCACTTTTTTACGGAGCGTAGCGATCGTGCTGCCGCTTGCCTCGGTGATCGCAGAACAGTGGCAAGCGTCTAGACCCCAAGAATCACTTTTGATCATAGCCCGGTTTCGGAAGGAGAAAAGGAAAAACGGGATATCGACCAAAAACACACAAGCGCTCATGATGGAGGATATCGTTTTAACCCATGCTGCCGCAATCGCATCAGATACTAAAGAACTTGTGACAGTATTCATTTAGCTTAGATTAGTTGCTAATCTGATTTAAGATTGTAAAAGAATAATTATGTGGGAAATTTCATTTTGCAAATTGTGTTACTGTGTCTAATCTTGTACGCATATATTATCTGATATGCGCAGGCGATCCTATGACAGTATTACACTGCAATTTAACAAATTTACTTTTAATTACATTTAGTTTAAGTCACAAGGAAATGAATGGAATTCTGCTTTTCATTGGCAATTTTGTAAACATGCAAAAATTGTTTATTTGACTAACTTCGTGGCTCATAGGTAAATATTTTTTTCATAAATAATAATATGAAAAAAAAAAAAAAAAAAAAAAAAAAGAAAGAAAGAAAAGAAAACTTTCTAAGAAACAGGAAACAAGAAGAAAACATGATGTCACAAAAAGCATGTGATCTCTGACGTCATTTGCGACTTTTTCAGACTGCTTTTGCTACTTTAGTTGAAAATAATTCTGGCAACACCGTTCTGATGTTATTTCGCACATGCGCAGAAAGGTATGGAGGGTGCATGGATTGCCTCTTTAAAATAAACTTCGCGGATCTGCATAATGTGTCTCTTCTGTCTGAAATTGTAACATCTCCCAGAAATCCATGAATAAGTGATAAATTCTTCATTATATACTTTCAAAGTCCTCTCAGTTTTCTAATATATTTGAAAATAACGTATATTCGAAAATGTCATGTGTAGAAAGAAACTTCTTAAAAGAGCACATACCTACTCCACACAACAGAAAAACCTCATATCAACTCGCCCAACAAAAACACCTCATGTATGTGAGCTTGGTAAAAGTCGCCAAAAGTAGCCAAATCCCGTGTGCACCAGGTACTAGGATTAAACCACTACGGTTACTTTTAAATGCACAATGTGATGTAATCAGGAAGTGAAGTATGTAATAAAGTATTTCTCGATAACTCTAGTTTTGAGGTTCATATGCTTAGCCTCATTTAAACGAACATATTCACACAGGAAAGGATGTCATCTGTTTGAGACATGTAACCAGTCATTTACTCAAAAAGGTGTTGGTGTTGGTGTGTGTATTTTAATTATGGCAAAGCACACTAGGGCTATCTGCCTAAAGGGAGTGATGCCGTCGTGGAGGACTTTCTAAGGGAAACTGGCTCATATACATGTTACACATGGGGAAAACCACGAAAGCGCCCATGCAGCCAGCCCGTTCGCGGGTACTCAAAAAGGAATTTAAATGAACATATGCTTACTCACACAGGAAAGAAACCTCATGTTTGAGAGGTACGTAACAAGTCATTTGTTCGAACTAGTTTTTTTAACACCCATATGCTTATTCGCACAGGAGAGAAACCTCATGTGTGTAAGATATGTAATAAGTCTTTTACTGGAAAAAGGCATTTAAAAACCCATATGCTTAATCACACAGGAAAGAAACCTCATGTGTGTGAGGTATGTAATAAGTCATTTTCTCGTAAAACTTACTTAAAAAGCCATATGCTTATTCACACAGAAAAGAAGCCTTTGTGTGGGGTATATAACAAGTCATTTGATGGAACTAGTTATTTAAAAACCCATATGCTTATTCACATTGGAGAGAAACCTCATGCGTGTGAGGTATGTAAGAAGTCATTTGTTCGAAGTAGTTCTTTGAAAAGCCATATTCTTATTCACACAGGAGAGAAACCTTATGCTTGTGAGGAATGTAACAGGTCATTTAGTCAAAGAGCTCATTTAAACGAGCATATACTTATTCACACAGGAAAGAAACCTCATGTGTGTGAGGTATGTAACAAGTCCTTTACTCAAAAAGGTAATTTGAACAGACATATGCTTAATCACACAGGCGAAAGACCTCATGTGTGTGAGATATGTAATAAGTCTTTTACTGGAAAAAGCCATTTAAAAACCCATATGATTATTCACACAGGAAAGAAACCTCATGTGTGTGAGGTATGTAATAAGTCATTTTCTCGTAAAACTTATTTAAAAGACCATATGCTTATTCACACAGAAAACAAGCCTTTGTGTGAAGTATGTAACAAGTCCTTTGTTGGAACTAGTTATTTAAAAACCCATATGCTTATTCACACAGGAGAGAAACCGTGTGTGTGTGAGGTATGTAACAAGTCATTTGTTGCAACTAGTTATTTAAAAACCCATATGCTTATTCACATAGGAGAGAAACGTCATGCGTGTGAGGTATGTAAGAAGTCGTTTATTCGAAGTAGTTCTTTAAAAAGCCATATGCTTATTCACACAGGAGAGAAACCTCATGTGTGTGAGGTATGTAATAAGTCATTTGTTGAAAAGTCGTGTTTAAACAATCATATGCTTATTCACACAGGAGAGAAACCTTATGCTTGTGAGGAATGTAACAGGTCATTTACTCAAAAAGCTCATTTAAACAAGCATATACTTATTCACACAGGAAAGAAATCTCTCGTGTGTGAGGTATGTAACAAGTCCTTTACTCAAAAAGGTAATTTAAACAGACATATACGTATTCACACAGGAAAGAAACCTCTTGTGTGTGAGGTATGTAACAAGTCCTTTACTCAAAAAGGTAATTTAAACAGACATAGGCTTAATCATACAGGAGAGAGACCTCATGTGTGTGACATATGTAATAAGTCATTTCCTCAAAAAGGTCATTTAAACAAACATGTACTTATTCACACAGGAGAGAAACCTCATGTTTGTGAGGTATGTAATAAGTCATTTAGTCTAAAAGGGAATTTAAAAAAGCATATACTTATTCACACTGGAGAAACTCCATGAGTTACATGTGTAAGAAATCACTTGAATGATAAAAAAATTGAAAGATGCATGTCTACAGACAATAAAAAGTTAATGTCTTTTATAGAAAGTTAGATTAATAAGAAACTTTACTTATGTGTGCAGTAATGACTTGTCTGTGCCATGAAGATTGTCTTTGTATGAGGTGTGTTTACTTGTTCTTTCATCTCAAGTCTTAATAAATGATTTATTTGTTTTCACAAGAGGAAAACCTCATGTTTGCGAGGTATGTCACAAGTCATTTTAAAACATACCCTATTCAAAGTAGCATTTTCCTTGTCTTAGTATTTAATTAGTAATGAAAGGTTTAAAAGAGCTTATTTGAACAGTGAAAAGTTAGAGACTGAATCAGGAATATTTATTGATGCAACATTCCTCCTATTCAGGTAATGTCTTGGAATGTTTGAAAGCTTGAAATATTGAACATTTTCATTTGAATGGAAATTTCATTACATTTTGCACTCTAATTGCATTTTTGTATGCAGTATCTTCTTGAGGGAAGGAAACTTTCATGACGTATATATTACAAGAAAATGACTCCTGTTCATGTGACTCATATATCATACTCAAATATCTCATGCAGCTAGCCTGCTTACCAGGGTTTAAAATACCATGCACTTTAGTCTTATCCACTTGACTTCTAATGAATGTTAATTATGAAAGATGGTAATAGTTTTTCTTAATGTGAAAATTTTGTGTTCATTATATAGAAGGTTTCTTAGTTTACTGTGCTTGAGAATCTTTAGATGAAATTACTATTACATGATGTATCATTGTTTTTTCTTCATATTAAAACTGATTTAGAAACTGCATTTTTTTTTTTTTTTTTTCCTTTTTAATAATTATTCCTAGTAGCAGAATAAGTGTATAAAAAGATTCTGTTTATAATTGTTATTCTCCAAGCAGATTTAATATCTTAGCAACATTTAGTTTATTATACCATTGTTATAGAAGAGTCAAAAATGGCTTCTGTGCATTTAATTACATAATCAACACTCATTTTTTGATTTACAATGGTTTACATTAATGTTATGTTTTCACAATATCTAATATCTTAAACAGCAAGTCTATTTTGCTTGGTTTAAGGTTGGTTCCTAGGGACCAATGCAATATTTAATGTGTTAAGAAATTACTGATGAAATGTTAAATGGATAAAAGCAACGTATTTGTACATAGAAAACAATCAACTGAAATATTCTAACTTCAAGTTTTATTTTGTAATTATGCATATGATCTATGTGCAAAAGATATTTTTAAATATAGTACTAAAAAACTTAAAATTTACAGGTTTTAAGAATTTATAAAAAATATTCATATTATGCAATATAATCTGATGGTTTCGACAATATATATTAAAACTGTAATTATCAACCTAATATAAAATTTGATTAAAATATCTAGTGGTGAGCTATTAAAATATTAACAAAGAGCTCACACTTTATTTTATAGAAACAAAATACCGAATTATAATTAAATGTTTTAATTTTTACAAACACAGAAAATAAATAACTGTGCATAAAAAAAATTGAAATAAAGAATGTCATGGAAATTACATAAAATATCAAATAAATTTCAGAATATGCAAAATTTATGCCAGATGTTGCCACATGCTATTATCTTCTCTCACCTCAGTTGATCATTTGAAAAGTTTTAAGAACAAAGCTGAGATTTTTCAAAAAGTTTCTACATTCTGCTAGATGTTTCCCCATTTACGATTGTCTTTAAATATAAAATTTACTGCGAGTCTTAAAGAAGATCTTATTGTGAAAATACTGTTTATCAAGCTTAAAACCAAGCTTGTTTAACTTCACCTATAAGCAATAATCTCCATAATGACTAGCTTCATTTACACAATTAGGAATTTTTTTATCCAATTTTCATCTTGATGAAAACCCCAAAGTAATTAATTTTTGTTTCATGCTTTAAGGTAAAATATAATGTTTGTTAAAGTATGGTTACAGCATGTAAGACGTGTTTTTCCTGGGATAAATAATAAGCAAACAGAAAGAACATAGGGTTTGCAATTTCGAGATAAATTTAACAAAGGACACATGAAGCTTCCTACAGTTCACCACTGAAGATATAATATAGACTTTTTTTGTACCTCATTTAATGTTACAATAACCTAAGCTAAAGAAATTTTGGTGGATCTTTACAATATGGTAACTGGTAGTTTGGCGATAAAGTTTACTACCTGGCACTTTGGTAATAATGTGAGCAGTACTCAGTTCCGATTATGCATTATTTTGTGTGAGGGAAATGAGAGATCATGGGATATGTCATGTGATATTAATGGACGAATTACGGTTCTTTAATCGGAAAAGGGGGGAAATCGGGAAAAAATCTGGAAATTTTGTATTTGGCTTTATTCTGTGTTGTGTGAAACAGTGTTCGTGAATTTTTGGATCCCATGGCCGTAACTAAAGTGAATTCGAAATGGGTATTTATGTATGTATTAATTTAATGTATGTGCTCATTTATATTTTAAGTAGTGTTTTTGAATTTAATTATATTTTAATTAAATGATAGTTATTTTGTGAATTTTATGTTTGTAGGAATTTGGTATACGTTTTAGTTGAAGTAAACGTGCATGGAAATAATTTAAATATCTGACACTAAGTATTTGTAATGGTTGCGGTATGAATTCGTTGGTGACGTGTATAATGTAATAGATGATTTAGAGGTAAAAGTTTTTGGATATTTTATTTATTTTATATGTGGAAATGTTCATTACTTTTTCGCGATCAGGTAATTTCATATATGTTCTTTTTACCGGGTTTAAAGATTGAGAAAATTGTCATGTATTTTCGTGAAATTTTTCTAATTTATGAGAAAAAAGCAGTGTACATGGATATAGTGAAGAGTGTGCGCAATGCCATTTTTGTGCAATTCTGGGATTTTTTTTTTAAGTAAAAATAAGTCGACGTGTACATGGTTTAGTGATATTTTAATTAAATGATAGTTATTTTGTGAATTTTATGTTTGTAGGAATTTGGTACACGTTTAAGTTGAAGTAAACGTGCATGGAAATAATTTAAATATTTGATACTAAGTATTTGTAATGCTTGCGGTATGAATTCGTTGGTGACGTGTATAATGTAATAGATGATTTAGAGGTAAAAGTTTTTGGATATTTTATTTATTTTATATGTGGAAATGTTCATATTTGGAAAGGGTAAATACTTTTTCGCGATCAGGTAATTTCATATATGTTCTTTTTACCGGGTTTAAAGAT